GAAAACAACATAATGAAAAGTCTTATCATGGACTCGGGCAACAACTATTAAAGCTGACCTACGATCCATCCATCGTACATTCAGAGTGTTTTTCTGCTTAAGTTAAATGTCGAAAACTTTTTGAAACAAATATGCTTTTAATGCAATATCCCTACCTATGTTTGAAACATCTCTGATTATTAGATCACCCTCAAACAAATACATCATGAGAAAAATTTTGAATTATGAAACTAAGTTCGAACTGGAATGCTATTTTTAAGCGCCTTCCATTATGGAGACCATAGTGAGGACTGAAACTTCCGTATGAAGTTGTTAGTTCATTTTATACCAATTTATACTGTAAAATTCTGTTTCTTATTATGTCTATCCCTGAAGAAGCATCAAGCGTGATCAGACACCGAAAAACATGTACCTTATAAATTCAATATGCGATGCCATACCCTACAGGATTTTTTAAATTTTAGTTATGTTTTGTTTAGATCGAAAACGAGATGTGTTATTTGGAACTGCTGAAGCTACGTTTTGGGGAAAACGAGCTTCGTAATTGCGAAGTGATGCTCAAAGACGTTAAAGATTCAAATCGCATAAACAATCTGGTAACAAAAACGATAGAAGAGGACGAATCGCTTTCAAAGGTATGAGTATATGTCATATGAACCTCATGCTTAATCAGCATCAAGGAATTATGAACTATAATAGTTGGGATAATTATAATTGCTGAAATAAAAACGGTAGTTTAGCATACAATCAGCGAAGTCACTGAAGTTGTGGAACAGTGACCGCTGGCCACATAATATCTTGGCTGAAGCCAAAGCCTGAACAGAAACAGCAACAACTGTGTTTTAATACCTGGAACTAGTCTGTAGGAGGCAGTATCTGATTTGACGTTAAGATTTGATTCTTAACAGTGCTCATAAAGTCAGTCTGTCTGAACAGCCATGAAACACAGCAAAGGGTGAAATTCACCGTTGAGCTGCAACCATCACTAACAAATGTCAAACCCAAAACGGGCACTATTTTTAGCGTCTTTAACGGTTTATTTACATTCAAAAACCATGCTCAAAGGCAACAAAGTCGATAGAATACACGGAGAGGACCTGGACCAACAACTCAAAGGCTGAAAACACAAATGAATAAATTGCCTCATTCTAAGAAGCGCACTGTTCTAAATCGCTACATATATACCTCTCTACGGTTTATGCGGCCAAGATAGATGATGATGATAGTGATGATAATGGCTATAATGATAAAATTATAAGTTGTATTTAAACAGTGCACATAATTAAATCTGTTCAGTTTCGATGCCTCTGCTGCCAATCGTAATTTTAATTTATCCGCTTCCGTGTTTGATTTTGCTACTGTTTATAGGCTCCGGTGAATATCTCCGCTTTAATTATATCGTCCCAGTTTTGGCCTAATGTGAAACAAGAGCGAATGATGCTGCCGGTCGAAGTCGAGCAGTCATTGCAGCAATTCAACAAGCTTTACGAAAAGTTGAAGGCATCGCGAACCCTCGAGTGGCACACTTCAGCTGGGCTGGTAGACGTCGAATTAGAAATGGGCGGAAAGGCGACTCGTTTCTCAGTCAGCCCCGTATTAGCGGCTATAAT